TAAAAACATTTTATGGGGTTTAAAAGATACAAGTTTTATATTGCTTTGGTATTGTAGGACAAACGTAACTTATCCAAATCAAAATGTACATCAGCAACCGTGTCACCCGCGTAAACCTTAACGCAGCATTGTGAGAAAATTGCAGGGAATGAGCATCAAAATTTGCAGGGGTGAAGGTGAACCTTGATGCAAACCACGATGCTTACTTACATTATTCAGGACAAACTCCTCCACTCAAAACTAGGCCCCGAAAATGAGGAACCCGGAGAAGGTTGTGTCGTCATCTTCATCAGCAAAGAGCCCGTTAAAAAGTTCTCCCCCGACGACTTGCAGCCACACTTTGTCTCCGGGCTCCAGCTGCAGCACGGTGGCCCCGGCCGCCTGGTCCTCGCCGCTTTGGTAGCTGTCTGTCGTGTGAAGCACCTTGGCACCGTTCTTCACCAAAGCCACTTTCACATTCCTGGAGAAGACGGTGATGTGATAGGTGAAAAAGTATGCGCCGGCTGCCGAGCATGTGAACCTTCCGGTTTGGGGATCATAATGGTTTTGTTGGTTGTAAATAATCTTGTCAAACCGGATGGGCGTATGAGCCGTCGGGAGTTTGCTCTGTGTGGTGAGTCCCACGGAGAAAGCGCTTTTGGAGATGACCCAAGCATCTCCCTGCTCGCCTTTGTCACCCTTGTCTCCTCGAGACCCCCGTTCCCCCCTGTGACCCACTCCGCCTTTTGTGCCTGGAGCGCCCACTTCCCCTTTAGACCCCAACCTACCCGGAGGACCCATTGGCCCCTGAATTCCTCGATCTCCACGAAGACCCGTTTCCCCCTTCTGACCTTGTGGTCCAGAAAATCCCTCTTCACCTTTGGGTCCCTGGGGTCCGGGTACCCCAAGCTCGCCTTTATTTCCTTTCGGACCAATGGGGCCTTCGATTCCATGTGGGCCCATTTTACCAGGTGGTCCGTGGTCTCCATTGTCCCCCCTTTTTCCCTTGAGCCCCGCTGGACCAGGTGCACCTAGACATAAAAAAAAAAAAAAAA